ACTGGGGAACTTGGTTTGGAGGTCGGCATCACCAGGGACGTGGCAGAAAGGGACAGTCCCACACCCTCTAGTCACTTGACCTTTTCCTTGAAGGCTCCTCAAACTGGAGTCTACACTCTTTTTATAGGGTATTATGGTCCAGTTGCTGCAGGACGCAGGTCAGATGCATCTCCATGGGTGCGCATTTGAACTTGGGTTAGTAAGGTAGAGCTTTCAAAACCGAGATCATCTTCCGTAGAGGTTGCTTGTGTTCGTGGTCGGGCCTGCGACACCCCACAACCACAGTGTCCAGTGAGATCTTTCTGTAGTGCTGAGAGCGAGGAGGGGAAGGGACAAGTCCATATACCGCCTTGGATTTTCAAGCATGATTAAATCGTTCAGAGGCACCGTCAACAAACCACGTGAATGGGGTAGACCAGTAGAGAAGCTAGAATGTTCATCGCGCTTCAGGAGGGGGCTTTAGAGGAGACCAGGAGGGAATGGGTTCCGACAAAGGCTACTGTGGACAGTGACTTATCCTGGCGCTTAAACTGGTAGGGAAGGAAGCGGTGGAGATGGGAGATTCGGGTTATGACGTTTTGGAGTGCCGTGTTCCTAATGTTTTTGCCTGTAGCCTGTGGTGACAAATGCATTTTACTTGGTGACCCAGTCATAAATGTGTGTAACTGAAACAAAAGTCTCGTCGAACACCTTCTACTCTGACGTTCCTATTTCCTTAAAAACAGTGCCGGTCACCGCTCTGTGCGTTGACTTCATGACCCGGCGCGGGTTACAGTCCCTGCTCAGAAAACATCTGCTGGGCGTCAGAGAACGAGGGCGCTGGGGGAGCGCACGCCCCGCTTGCCCCGCTTACGGATTGGTCCGTGGGAGGAGCAGATGTTGGAGGTGGCGTCGTCTGGGTAGAAACCAGTGTCATGGTGCGCTCCTGAGGTGTGTTGCTGGCATGGCACGGAGATGACAGTTGGTGGCTACACCGGTGAGCTCTAGGGCTAACCCGTCAGCTTGTATACGTGGACATCAGCATCCGCGAGGCGACGTTGAGAATCTGAGGCGAAAACGAAAGCAGTCCTAGGACCGGGCCGCGTCCCAGGTGCGTTAGGGACGTGCTCATGGACCCTTCTGCCGAAGGACTTGACGGACTAGTTGCCATATTTAAACCTGCTCCTCCCCGTTGTAGCCCAGAGAACAAGAAGCATGTCTGCTGTTCCAGAGCGTGGGTTTGAAGTGGGTGATATACAAGTAGTAATTTTTTTTTAGGAGAATAAGCATGAAAATTAGTTCAGAATTCATCTGAAAACTATTAAAAGTATTTTGTGTAAGCAGCACCTATTTTGCAGTCATCACGAAATGTGATTCAGTCAGCAGTCGTGAAAGTTTATCTTCTGTAGCGACAAGATTGGGCGAAAAAACTTAATGCGCCATATTATCATTGTAAACATATATACGTAACAGTGCTGTTTTTACTAGGAGAAGTTCAGATGAAACTTTTTAAAGATAATTATGATTTTTAAAGTTAGATTGGTTTTCAGTTTGGAGGAAGAGTACTCGGAAGTCAGTGTGGGATATTGGATATCTTACTTTCAGACCTTAGATGATAATGTGTCATGCCCTCAAGTGAGAGATACGTCTCCCTGTATGTTGATAAACACGTCTGGGCATGCGCTGCTTTTCGCTTGTTTCCATCCCTGCTGTGTTGTCATGTAACATTTCCCCAGGAGTCGATCTGGAGCTTGAGATCCTCCTCAGGTTGTACAAACTTAGGAGCCTTCGAGAACATGGTCGTTCCTGAAACATCTTCAGGAAATAACCTGGTGTTCCCGAATCTGAATTTGACAAGGACAAAGGCCCAAGTAAATGTGGGAGGTCGTTATGAGGAGAAATTTTTAAAGGTGATCAAGTGAAGGATAGAATTGCTGTAGACCAACAAAGCCTTGTGTTCACTATAAGCAAACTCTAAGGAAAACTTGACCAGAAAAGCTGAATTAACTGCTTGGAGGATGAAGATGTTCCTTAAAGCCAGACATTCCTAGAACCAGAATTGAGATTTATTTACTAAGATTAATTATGATTTAGTGCTGACATGTAAAGATTTCAACACTACTTGTCTAATAATCCTACTTTTAATGGAAACAGCAGGAAAATGTCAAGCGTAGCCTTCCTGTCCCTTCTTAATTTTAATAATTAATGATTTCTCCTGAGGGGAGAGTCCAGTGGAGGGGGGACCCAAGGGAGACCCAGCTTTTCTTCAGTCCCACTTCTGCTAATGAATAAGCCCTTTCTCCCGGGACCGTCTGATGGAGAGATCCAGCTGGCTCCCCGAGGGCTGGGCTTTTCAGTTCTGGTGTCCCCGTTACTCATGAAGATGATAGCTTGCCGTCAGCCTCCATTGTGCTTCGGGTTGGACTATGAGGTCTGCTTTAGCCAGAATGATTACTTAGGTTTTCGAGTTAAACATGAGTTTAGCCTGCCAAATAACGTATGTCCTTTATGCCACAAATGAGGAACTCCCCTTTGGATGCGTACCAGTAATTGTCGCATTTTTTAAATGTCCACTTGTTAGCCGTCTTGTTTGATGTGTATAATTTTATTTTCGGTTTGGTGGTGGTTTCCGAACTTTCACGCACTGACTCCCGAGGCCGCTGTCCCCCTCCTTTCACCCTTGCACGGTTAGCCCTACCTGGTACCAGTGCAGAGAACTGTAATCCAGTGATTCCTTCTGTTCCTCCGCTTTGGGGGAGTTTATCACACACATAATACTTCACCCCTTTCAGTACTATTTTTAATCTAGTTCTGCTTCCAGAAAAGTTATAAAAATTGTTTTAATCCCAAATTCCCTTTTTCCTTTGTATCTCTAGCCCATATACTTTTGGGGGCGGAACATTATCTTTCTTCCCTTCTTGCCATTCGTAAGCCAAAAAAAAAAAAACCACACACACACACACTTATCCTACATAAGGGCATCAAAAGCCCACCGGAGTGCCTGGAAATGCTCTTAGAAGTCCTAAAGGTCTTTTTCTTTCTTCCTAAATAAACTTCTTTTGCTTCAAGCAGTAGCATTCATGTAAATAAGAATTTTCTTGCCCTTTAAAAATTTTCAGTTTACTAACATAAAAGAGGATTTTTCTCCTTGCTGTTTTCAGTACATAAAACAGTTGTGCTATATTTTGAGCTAAATACTCTTTTATGAGCTGGCTTATATAACATGGCTTCTTTTGAACACAATCCATTCGAAATGCGTGCAGTTCCTAGACAGCTACTGTAGCCCAAGGCCACAGGCCGGCCCACGCTTGGGCACCAGTAAGTACTGAATGTTTTTTAATCTCTATGGAACTATGTTTTCCTAGTCACATGTATAAAATTAAGATCTTTTGTAGTATCTGAATGTGTGAGAGTGCCGTTTGGAGGTCTGAGTTTAAATCTCATTCGTCCAGAAACCCGAGTATCTGCAGGGTCTCTGTAGACTAATAATTGAGATAACTTCAAGCCCTAAAAAGAAAGAAAATAGGCTCGTGTGATGGAGTGACGTTAGGGAATGGGTGCCACCTTAGATGGGGTAGTTTTAGTGACGCCTTCTCTGAAGAAGGGACATTCGAGCTTAGACCAGAATAAGGACAAAAGTGAGTCATACCTTCAGCGATCTGGGGGATGACTAGAACAAAGGCGCTGAGGCGGGTAGGGACTTGGCAGGGACTTGGCAGGGACGGAAGGGATGTGCCTGGAGCCTGGGGAGGGCCCGGGAGTGGGGAGTGGTAGCGGGCGAGGTCAGGGAGGTGGGCAGAGCAGGGCCCAGCGGGGAGGGCCTGCCGTTGCGGGCCATGGTTCGGAGCTGGCAGTTCATTCTAATCGCAGTGAGGATTTTCAGCCGAGAAGTATCATTTAATTTTCAAAAGCTCTCGTAGGCTGCCCTGTGGAGAGTGATTTCAGTAATTCTAGAGACACTTTGAACTCTGTGTTCAGCCGCTCCATTGAGCAGTAAATAAACCAGCCAACTTGGGGCCTGGGGGAGGAGGGAGCGCGTTTCTAGTCGTCTCCCAGCAGCGCCCACTTATAAGCCAGCTGTTGAATTAATAAATTTCTAAGTCTGTGGGGACTGCCTTGGGTGTGAAAACGTGGCGCTTGCACTGCTCCTCCGTGGTGTGGAGGAAGGCTCGCAGAACCGAAGCCCCCGGGAGTATGAGCCTCATGTTGGCAGACCCCCCTCTCGGCTCTCCCGCAGCTCAGCTCGTCTGAGGGGGAAGTCGACAGGTGCGCGTGTGGCACACGTGTTCAGTAACGCGGAGGACGCCGAGGGCAGGAAGGGTTTGGGATGAAACTAGGGAGGAACCACTTCCTCTCCTCTTTCCTGTGATATCAGAATCTGGACTTTGTTCTTCGCTGCTTCTTCCCAGGGAAGCCTGCTCCAAAGGCCTCCGGTAGAAACTTTAACACAGAGAGGAGCGAGAACTTAGGACTCTAGTGCTTGGTTTGTTAATGTACAGGCTCAGTCATTACTGCTGGTTTTGCGAAGTCCAGAACATTTCTTAATTGTCTTCTCTGTGCCCGGCACGCCCAGGCCTTTGATGCTGGGTGACTGAGACCGGATTTCTGCTGTCACACAGTTTTTTCAATAAAGACTTTGTATTTTTTCCAGATTACCCTCTTTAGAAGCTATACCCGCTAATACTTGTTAACAGCCACATATGAAAGCACCCAAAGAAACTAATCATATTTTATTAATTTCCATATTAAAATTAATAGCCAGATTTCAAGGACACCAGAGAAAATCAGCTTAGCTTTGACCTTGTTTAAGATTTTGTTTACCTTTAACAGAATATGCAGTATGCTTGTTGGTAATATTTTTTAATGTCACAAAGGTATTTCGTTCATAATAGCTTAATTGCCTAAATTCTTGTATAAGCAAATTAATAAAATTAATTTCCTTTTTTGAAATTGCCTAAATGCTAATTAAAAGAATGTTTTGTTCCCATACCTTCATCTGTCAGAGTGAGTTTTTTATGTAAAATCGGAGGGTTAAATTTTTGTGCCTTGATACGCCAGTGTATACTGAACTGTTGCTTGCTTTTACAGGGAAATCCTCATTGACGATTCAGTTTGTCGAAGGCCAATTTGTGGACTCCTACGATCCAACCATAGAGAACAGTAAGTGTTGTTTCCAAGGATTTATAAACTGAGAAGCTGGCCTTTTGCATACAAACAGCCATTGTGTATTCCTGGCGGCCGCATTGCAGCGGGGGGGTGCTCACTTAAACCTATACATCTCCAACTGGAGTCCAAAAAGCTTTCAAAAACTTTCCCCACCTTACAGTGAATGATTTTTTTATTCAGTGTCCGCATCCTGCCATCTAGAAATTGTTATTCAATTCCATGGGAATCCAGAGTCCTATATTAAAACCTCATATTCCAGGCTCTGCTTTAAAAAAGCTAGAAATAGAGTGTGCAACCTCGTCCCCCATCCCCACCCTAACAGTAGCCCTATTTAGGGATTCAGAGCTTGAAAAGAAGAGATGAAAGCACTCCAGATCCTTTGTGCCTTACTCCTGGGGAAGCTCTAGCAGCCCCAACCCCAACCCCTTCCAGTCCTGAAGGCTTCGGGAAGGCTGCAGAGAAGGGAGCCGTCTGGGGCTGGGGAGACCAGCTGCACCACTGAAAGAAACAAAGTCTGTTGGCCTTTCGGGCCATGTGCAGAACAAAGCACCAAAGACTAGAACCAGCCACAACCTTCACCTTGTCCAATTTCAATCTTTGGTTTCAAAATATTCCTGAAGGATTCTAGGACTCTGGGCCAAGTCTTGGTTCTAGGGGTCACGGAGGAGAATCTGAAACGCTTCCATCCAGGGAAGTTGCTTGGCTAGAAGCTGGTCTTCTTTCAGGCCATCTTAGGATCCCAGAGAACCTGGAACCAGTCTTCCCAGCTTCTTGACACCTGGAATTTGTCACCAGGAACATGCAGATTTAAGCATGGGATTCATGAAAACCCAATTGGCATATTAGAAATGAAGCCGACTTAACAGCTAGATTCACAGACTTTTAACAGCTAGATTCTTAGACTCCACCTGCCTAGAGCTTGCAAGAGAGACTTAGAAAGAGGCTTGCAACGCGGAGTTGACAGACTACAGCCCACAAGCTAAGCATGGTTTTTACATTTTTTTTTGGTATTTGAAAAAAGTCAAAAGAATAATGTTTGTGACGTGAAAGTGACATGAAATTCAAATTTCAGCATGTATACGTAAAGTTTGATTGGAATACAGCCGTGCTCAGTCACGCACATAATGTCTGTGGCTGCTGCTTCTCTATGATAGTGGACTTGCTAAATATTACAAGAGAGACCGTAAGGCCCACAAAGCCCAACATTTGCTATCTAGCCCTTTACAGGAAAAATTGGCTGACCTCTGGCTTAAAATATTCAGCTGTCCTTTGTGTCCCAGTATGCTAATGGCAGGGAAGGAAACATTGGTTGCTAAACTCACTCTGGGCAGACCCATGTTTGAAAGTAACTTCTGCCTTATCTGGAAGGAGGGGTCCTCCTTACATCCTGTTGATTGTTTAGTTACCACTTACAGATCAGATACCACTGTGAGGAGCAAATTAATTTGAATGCTAAGCAGACAAGTTTGGTTATCTCTCCTTCGGAATGAGAATACAAGAAAACCAAACGGAGATCTTGGCCTTAGTATTTGCTATACAAAGCAATTTAGAATTTCGCCTCCTTAAAGAGATAAGGCTCATTTGGGAATTTTCTTCGTAGAACAATAGAAGATAGTTTTCATGGTAAGATCTGCTTATAAAAGTGGTTTTTATAATTGTGTATCTTCTGTGCCATTTAAAATTGAGTCAGAAGGGAAATCATGGTGTTGTATGTAAATAGTTTCTTCATATTTTAGTAATGGATCAGATGGAAGTCTAACTTCCTCACCTTGGTATTCCGACAAACAGTGAAATGACTACTTCGAGGCGCTCAAAATCATCTTTAATCGTGTTTTTAATGTTTTCCTAATACTTTGCGTTTAATAGTAAAGACTTGTTCAGTCTCAAAAATGAATTCGATGAAAGTCTTTAGTCAAGAGCAGAAACGGGCATCGGAGTATATGAGTCCCTCAGAAGTTCATGAGGGGTGTTCAGACATCAGATTCTGTTTCCCACACTTCTGACAGTAACACAGCGCAGGAATCGTCCTCCACCCTTCCCCCGCTGTTTCGTAGAAAAACATTCATTGTTTGGCTAACGGAATTAGAGAAAATGGAGTGGTTATCATAAACTTGTTGCTGGCGACATAAATGAATGAATGGCTTTATGGTTTTTAAAAAACTATTTTCTAAATCTGGAACAAATCTAGTAATTTACATATAACTTTAATATGGAACAGGTTGTTTAGAACAAATGTTCAGCGGTGACACATTTCTGTGAAGCGTCACTGCAAAAGCAAAAATTCTGGGACCATGTCATCTTTTAAAACAGGAGAATCATGATAAAGCCACATATTTTTGAGTTTGGAAAATTTTTTAAACCGGAAATACTGCCTGCGCAAATGCGCTTGATTATCTACTCTCGTATTAATCTAATAGCTCACCGTGAACTAAATTGATAACGATGACATTTAGTGGTAGTTTGTCATTTAAAGGAGGAATCACAGCAGTTCAAAACTTCTGCCATCTCAAGGTAGGACTGTTGATGAACCAATAAAGTTCCTCTCAGAAGGCGGGGAGATTCTAATTAGGAGTCTGGCAGCAGCATCAAGCGTCGCATGGCAGGTTGACTTCTCGTGGGATGTGAAATGAACGAAGAGCTCTCGGTGCCCGTTAGCGCGGCGGGTCTTACCGGTGAATGCCAAACCTTCGAAATCGCTACTACCTGGCTTAGTAGTAGGTTTTACTAGTAAGTAGCTATTAGTCTGCAATTTGGGGATTTTAGGTTGGTAATTGGATTAATTTCTCCAATTAATTGAGAGAGTTGCAGGCAAGTGATGTCAGGAGCCAGCCAGCGCCCCTTCTCCCCGGGGTTCCGTTCGCTCCTGGTCTCTGGAACCGACAGGCATCTCTCTCATACGCTTCCCTTTCTCTATAGTAACAAGAAGAGGCAGTTTCCCATGACAGATGGAAGGTCTTCAGTTTCATTCTACTGCTTTGTGTAGGAGGCTTTGCATCCTTTTTATGTGCAAGGATCTACTAAGACGTTTATTACCATTTTATTTATTGTCTGTCTGACGTACAGTTGCATCTTCTCTCCCACCTCTGTGCTCCTGCCTCGCTGACCAGGATTTCCCTTGTCTCCTTGGCTGACTCTCCTTCCTGTTTCTGACCTGCTGGCACAGGGCACCCCTGGGCCTCAACGCGGGGCTCAGGTTTCCTCTGCTCTTGCTCTCTGGTGGTCGTCCCCTCTTGAGAACTCGCCCGTCTCACGGAACCCCAGCGCCACTGCCTCCCTTGAGCCCGGGCTGTTTTATTTAGCTGCCTTCATTTCCCCCAGGTGTTTACTAGGCCCCTCAGACGGAACGTACCTAGACCAGCTCCTCATTCTGCCCGCAGGCTTGCCTGTGTTGGCAGATGGCAGCCGTGCATCCAGAAACTTCGGAATCTTCCGTCTCTCCATTCTTCACACCCAACTGGAGTCACTCAAGAGAGCCTTTCGCTCTCCCTTTGAAATGGGTCCAGGACTCACCGACGCCTCACGCCTCCATCCCGCCCCCGGTCCCTGCATTGCGGGCTCACGCCGGCGCCCCTTGTCCGTTTTTCTGTTCAAAGCGTAACCAGAGCGATCCTTTCAAAATATAAAGCAGATCGGGTTACTCCCCTGCTCAGAACCGGTCGTTTCCCATCCCATTCAGAGTAAAAATCCGAAGCTCTTACCGTGACCTCCGAGGCCGCCTGCCTGCTCCCCCGCCTAACCGCCCGCCCGCGGGTCTCAGCCTCGGCCGTGCTCACGTCCTTGCTTTTCCTCGCTGAGCTTTCCACTCGCCGCTGAACCTCTGCCCACGCGCTCCTCCCGGGGAAGGTCCCTGACAGTGTTCTGATGGGTCTTCCTGCCTTCGTTGGGATGTCAGCTCCCCGAGGCCCCTAGAACAGTGCTAGCGGTGAAAATGGGCGCTCAAAAAATAGCTCGTGAATGAATGAATGAATGAATGATGGTGTTTTGTTTCTATAATTTCATAATTATACTTCATAACCACAATTACTTAGTTCTACTTGAAGGTGGCTGTTTTACTGCTCACCAGCATTTCTTCTGTGATTTTCATTGAGTCTAAAATGCGCTTTTGGACCTTAGCAGGTATCTAAGGCAGGTTTTCTCACGGGTACCTCATGACCGCCCCCTGGCAACAGTGATCGAAAGCACAATCATGCATTGCGCATCCCAAGTTAAGAGAAGTTATGATACGAAAAAAAATACAATAGAAACTTCTCTTAGAATTGATGAGACAGGTTACATTGGGTATTCCCAGTATTCAGTATTTCTTGAAATATTCTGATTTAATTTTCATCTGCTTTAATTATTATCTTAAGAGGTTATTTCCAGAAAAGGCGCAAGGATATCAAGTGTGGCAGTTGGCTTGAGTAGTCTGGTCTGACTTCCACTCACCTGTTCCAGCAGCCCTGCTGGCATTAGAAGAGCAAGGTGCTGGTCTGAGTCTCCAGAGTGTTGCTTCTCTTCCAGCCGTCCTTTCCCTGTGGAACGCACCATTTAGCCAAGATCTCCTCTGTCCTTGTCGCTTTCCATTTTCTCTCCTAACTGTCATCTGTTTTGGCTTTCCCTTTTGGCTGTCTTACAGAGTGGGCAAAAGTGCATGGAGCAGATTCTGTGCCTGGCTCTGAGGGTAGAGTCTGTGCCTGGCTCTGTCAAGTTGAACGGACAGCCAGGAGACGTGAGGACTCGTGAGCCAAGATGCCTGGGACAGGGTGCAGAAGAAATCTGTTCCGTGTGGTTGTCACAGTTCCAGATGGTTACTTGTAATAGTCAGTTACTATTAATAGTTCTTTCCTCTTTTGTCTATATTTGAAGTCTGTCTCCTTAGAATTCTGAATTGACTTTTCCGGAAGTTATTTGAGTCTAATTTATTTCCCCTGGGTAAGGAAAAGAAGTTGTGACAAATCGCTTGGAGCCTTAAGCTAAGTGGGAATGATGGCTTCACAGAGAACATCTGTTCCATTGCTGTTTTATCTGTTAATAAAATTGTTGATTCTTCTGTGTTAAAAAAATAAGCACTTCAGTTAATAGTAGCTCTTTGTGTTCTGACACCAGACTTCTATAAATCAATGAAAAGTTTCGTGCTTTTGGTTCGTTCTACACATCAACTTTTATGTGACATATTTCACTTTTCCACAAGAGAAAGGACTGTCCACAGAGCATTCAGATTACTTTTATCAGATCTGAATTATTGCTTGATCTCAGTATCTTTGAAAAAGTTCAGGTTTACCCAGTCTTGATTTTAGTCAGCCAGTGTTTTTTGGTTAAATAATCGAAGTAGGAAAGCAGCTGTAAACCCAGAGATTTGTCCTTTTTTGTTTTATGGAACCTTTTTCAGGCGAATATTAGGGACTCTGCTTACTTGGTTATTATTGTTCAAACTTTGATCTAAAGTTAATTTTTTTTTAGCTAACTATTTAATTTCCTTTTCCCCTATAGCTTTCACAAAATTGATCACAGTAAATGGACAAGAATATCATCTTCAACTTGTAGACACAGCTGGGCAAGTAAGTATCTCTAGTGTCGCTGACTCTTGTACAGCGTGTGTGACAGTCGCGGCCTGGCATCGATGCTTAACCATGGCAGCAAGGCCAAGAAAACTCAGGATTTATGTGTGATCGAATATTGATGATTGTCTACTTTGTCATTTCTAAGACATTTCTTGGCAGCTTTTCAAATAATTTGATTTTCTTTTTTAGAATTGTTTTAAATATATTCATAACCTTGTGAAGGTTTATGTTTATTACAGGAATATGGTTTTCTATTTTCTGAGCTTTTAATTTTTCATCAGAGACTCATGTTAGTGTGTTTTCTCCCTTTGTAATATGTGTTCTCTCCCACAGTAAGAGCAAAAATAAGTCTTTTCTAGGGGGAGGGCATGAGAAAGGTACAGGGCAGAAACGCGCTAGCTTAGAGATGGGTTATGTGATCAGTGAATTAAGGGGCATCGATTTGATTTGCTACACAGTGGGCAATTGCCAGAGGTTAAGTAACCCCCAAAAAAGATACTGCCAGGTCAATGTGGCAGCGGTGTGGGGAGTGGGTTGCCAGGGGAATCGACTGGAAGCAGAGGATAAAGAAATTAAGAGAACTTGAGGGGAACAAAGAAACCCCTTTTGACAGCTTAATTTCTCCATTACCATGGCACGCAGTCCAGCTTTTACTAGAAACCATTCTGTTAGGCGGAATGTATTCCGTTCACTGGAGAGTAGCGGGGATTGGAAAGAAGCTGCCATGTCACTTTCTGACTCCTCACCTTGTATCTTATAATCAGCAAAGGACCAGACTGGCAGGAGGGGTGAGTGTAGCATGATCCCGTCGGCCATGTTCAGTGGAGGTTTTTTTCCAGAACTCAGGGGAACTGGGATGGGCCTCTCCTGGTTCGAAGAATGAACCCCCTCTGCCTTATGCGTGGGAGTGAACGTGGAAGGAAAGTGTAACCCACAAGTGAAGCAGGAGAATAGCTCTGCTGAGTCATCATGGCCCAGAAGAAACCCTGGGGTTTCGGTTCTGGAAGCTTCACATAAAATAAATCAAATGTGTGTGTCACAGAGATGTGACACGCAGCTCTCATTCACCCAACACACTCCCACGAGGCAGTGGATATACTGGGCTTGCGTCATCAGGCCTCGTGGCGGTCGGCTTAGAGCAGAGCCGTCCTTGGCCCTTACTGCGCATCGACAAGATGGGGGCTTAGAGCCTCTTGGAACATAGGGAGCAAAAGCAGGCTCCACGGTGGAGGGATGACACACAGGATGCAGCTTATCTTGGAAATTAGTGTCAAAGAGCCTCTGGGCTGGGACCTTCTGTGGGATTCTTAGGGTTTGTAATCTCTTCTAGTTAAGGTGACTATGTAATTTATTGCCTAAAATAAGACACTTTTAAAGTGAAGGGGCACTGGTGTAATTATGCCGGGACAACTGGAATAAACCCACAGTGTCATGGGCGAAGAAATATGGCCATGCCATTTATGCTGGGACTCTGGACTCTGTCAGGATTTCAGCTTGCTTTTATATCTTTGTTTCAAGTTTTCATTAAGCTCATGGAAGTGGGGATAAGGATGTAAATTGATGAATCACTGCCATGTTATGTTACTGTGGAAATACATTTCCTCGTAGGCTGGGAGAAGCAGTACTTCCTAGTGGTTTGCTGTGTGGGCTCTGCAGTCACAATGCCTGGGTTCGGATGCTTGCTTTTCTTACCCAGTGACCTTGAGACAGTTAATGAACTTCTCTGCGCCTCAGATAGTTTATCTGTCAAAATGTTGGTAATAATGGTGTGTGCCTTCCTGGGATTACTGCGTTTAGAGTAGATTCGTGAGTTTGCAGAGGATTTATTTGATCCTCATTTGCAGATCTCGATGCTGCCGAGGCTAGAGCGGTGGCCTAGCATTGCCACTCAGTCGACGTGCGCAGCCGGAGTGGGGAAATGCAGGCGTCTCATGCCTGGAGTAGACCTGTCCTTGGAGACGGTTCTCTGGAGACAACATTTATTCATATTGAGTCTCCTGATCAGAGTGGAAGCTGTGTTCTTCTGAGGTTCTGTTTTGTTCTAAAGCATAAAGGCGAACTTGGCCATCACATGCCTGTAACTGTTTTAACTGTGGAGTGATACAAAGAATGACCCCAAAAGGATCCGAGATCTCAGGGAGCGAGCGTACGCTGTGTGGGTGGCCAGAGCAAGGTCCATTCTAGCTCTGCTCTTCTTGCTCCTTTGGTTCTGTTTCCGCCAGATAAGAATATTTAGAGAATTTTGGCATGACATACATCCAGATTCAGCTACTTTGAATAATTTGTTCTCATGGCAGCTAGGACTTCACAGTTAGGAGACCGGGAAATAAAAGATTCTGCTAGTACTTACCATTCATGACGGTATGATACAGGCATTTTTTATCTGCTGCGGTCCCACCCTCCTCCCGTAGAAATTAGATGAAATGACACTAACATTTACTGCTCTGGGATCTGCTTTTAAATTGGGTTCATATGGGCTGGCTCTGGAGTTAAGG